TGAGGAATAAATTTAAAAATCTCTCCAAATGTTGAAAATTAGGTGTTTCAGTAGAAAAAATCCTAATATGTCCACAAAACACTTTGTTTCCAAAATAAATTCAAGCATCCCATTAATGACGCTGTTCCAATTTTGGCGACTCTCCCTTAAATCACTTAGTTTTATTTTCTACGTATATATTATATTATAACTCTGATTGAATTCATCGGGCACTTTCTTGATAGTATATTTATTCCAAAACATCATCAGTACACACACGCGCGCACACACACTCATAAGGAACTACGGAGAAGAGCGTTGACGCCTAAATCAAGAGGTGTGCACATATACACAGACATATATGTGAGTGTGTGCGTACATGTGCGTGTGTTTGTGTGTGTATGTGTGTGTATGTATGTGTGTGTGTTGATGTGTGTATGTTGGCAATGAATAAAAAGGTATAAAGGTATCAGGGTAATTAAAACTAAATTTTATAGAATGATTTCATACACTCTTTTTATTTATTATGTATCTTGAAATAGCACTATGTTAAAGAAACAATAATAACAAAATTTAGCATTAAAAATTATTTTTAGTGGTGCCACATAATCTTTGAACATTTGACAGATCCCTAATATTATAATAAAAATATTTCTTTATGTTAAACAGACGAATTTAAATAAAGATTTCAACAACAATCATTTTTATTAAAATTACCGGCGCACAATAGGCGAATTTTTCATAATAACCTAGCCTAAAGTAAAAAAATGAAAACCATTATTATGAACTTATTATTATGTCATAACGTAAACAAAGACCATGATGCATTTTTATTCTTTAAGAAAATAGTTCATAACTTTTATAGTTACCCGCTAAACATCTGTTATTGAAAGTTTGTGTTTTGCGTTTTATAACAACACAATTACGCGCTCAAATAAACATTGTTGGCAAAAAAAATTACCATTACTCAAAGATTAGCAACGGATTCTTCAAACAATGGACGATACTCTTCAAGGTATTTATATAACATTGTAATAAAACGTTTTATATTCTTTGCTTTAATTTTATGTAAAAAAAAATTCAGAAACTATTTTCTTCCTTGAACTCATTTTTCATGCGAAAAAAGAGTTCAAAGAAGAAGATGTGAACCCGCGAGATCCTAATTAGTTATACTTTGGAGGTTTGTTTATAAACGTCTATTCTAATGGTTCGTGAAAAAAAAAAACACAATTTTGTTGCCCATTTCTTCTTAAAGTTTTCCTTATAGCGTTATAGTTTTTTATAGTTTTTATGTACTTGATTTTTTGGATCTAAAATGACGAATGTTTTTTTTTATTATTCAAAAATTCAGTGAAATAGATATAATGTTTTTTCGAGAAACTAGTTTTGTAAAATATCATCAAACTACACGAAATTTAATAGAACACCAATATTGACAAACCTTTTTCAAAAGAATCAGTTTGATTACGAAAAAATTATTATACAAGGACTTTTTTAAAGTATATTATTACATTTTAATATTTTTATGCTTTACATTTAACTTTGGTATTGAATTTATGTAGTATCGATAATCGTTTGTCGAGTATCGATTACTTTTTGTTTAATTTTAAATTAGTTCTGTAAAGTGAATTTTTCATTTCAATATTCTAACATTCTAAGGTTCCTAAAGAGATTTTTGCAACTTGCCTGGGTCTTTTAAAATTTTGAAAATTAAATCTCCAAATTTAGCTGACCAGCTTGAAGTTTTGCCTTTACGGTTGTGTTTAGGAAGAAAAATTTGTTTCCAAGTTTTAGTAAATACTAGAAATAAAAACTGAAATGGAAAAACAACAACTGGATAAAAATAATATTTATAAAAACACATGATACATGGCTCAATAAATATTGCCGTAAGTTATTTAATTTTTTTTTTTTCATTAAAGTTTTCAAATGTTTTCTGTATTAAACATCTAAATATTTTTAGATTTTTCAAGCACAAAAAAAAAAAAAAAAAAAAGAAGCAGAAATGGGTCGAATGTCAACCTTCATTATATTTTTATTTAGAAAGTAAACAAATAAAAACGATGAAAAACTACTTGGTGTGTAATCAAGTCAATTTTAAAATATTATAGCCTCTGTATGATATTTTGTTGACTACGACTTATTTCCGTTAAATGATCTGGTCTGTGAATTATGAATATACGAAAAAAGTTAAAATGATAAATTTTGAGGTATCGTAAAATATAAACGTTTGTAGCAAAAAAACCCAGACCGAAAAATTTCTGTTTTAAATAATCAATTTTCTTAAAATTACAAAATTGAATAGGACTTTAAATAAATAAATTTTATTATATGAATATTGAATAAGATTTTAAATAAATAAATTAAAAAAAATTTTTTTTAAGTGAAATGAACATCATAGTTTAATAATATGATCGTTTATTGGCAATTGTAAGCTCTTTCTTGGTCGAAGTTCTAGTATTTTTTGTGAAAATTGAAAGAAATGTTGTATTTTGACAACTAAATTATTTAATATACGTCAGAACCAATTAGAACTAGGATCTATAGTGGGTTAAGGCACTTTTTCAAATGATTTTAACTAAGTTCATGTTAACGCCAATGAGTGAAATTGATCTAAAGACTCCAAAATGGTTTTCTTTAGACTCACTATTAGGAGCAGTAAAAAGATTTTAAAAATTGTATAAAAAAAGCAAAGTTTCTTTTAATATTAAATAAACTTGATTATAACATCTAAACCTCTTGTTTGGATCCAATACGCTGTTAAAATTATGCTAATTCCAAATAAAAGAATTCGAATAATTTGTAAATCGCCTTAACAACACCGAGTAATGAGATTCATTCCACATTTAGTTTATCCAAAAGCATTAGCAATTCAGATAAGTCTTTAGGCTTTAGGAGCATGCCACGCTCTAATTTCAGATAAATAATTAAAATCCACCTTTCAACAGCGAAACTCAAATTTTCCCACATTCTACATACATTCATTTTTGTATTAATGAAAACAAAGTTTTCTTAACATCATTTTATTATGTCTAAGAAGCCAAAAATATGTGTTATCCTGAAGATATCACCAAAGTTTTACTTCGGCGCTTTGATAATCCAAAGTGCAGAAAAACTGCAATTGTCATTAAGTCAAACTTGTTTACACGTTTTAAAAATTCAACAAGTAGTAACTGGTTTCTTGAATATAATTTCATCTAATTTTATTTTGACAGGAATAATGCTCTTTGGTTTTTAAAAGTCCCAAAAGTCAGCTGGTATTCTAGAAGGTTATTAATAATTAATGAATCACTTTCACGTAATTTTACAGAGATCCTTTATACAGAAATTCACAGCAGTTTACAAAGTACTTAGTACTTACTTACAAAGTACTGGATTCCTGGAGTCTTAATGATAATAACAGCTGTATTAGCCATCTCTTAAATATTACCCATCGGTTAAATATTTGAGGATGTTCAGAAATCTAAAAACAGATTTAAAAAAGATATTGCAAAACAAGGTCCAGTTTTTTAATTTTTTCTCAAGCTTTGCAGTTGTTGTTATCTTTATATATATGACAAAAACTCATTCGCTAGCGATAAACTTATTGTTAAAAAAATTATAAATTGTTTTGATTCCGATACTGTTTGTATAATTAAGCCGTACTGCTGTACGACTTAATTATACAATTAATATTAATTTAAATACAATTGTTGAAAAATTTAACCTATTATTAGTTTAACCTTTTATGTTTAAATTAAAAAGAAATTAAATATCTCAAATAAATAGAATGTCCAAATACAGTTTTACTCTTCTTTTTTTTTAATTCTGCAATTTTGGATCTGCCATTATTGAATTTTGTCAAGTTCAGATTCAGTGATTGAAAAAAATATTATACTTTATTATATCTTTCGATAATCCACCTGTTTTTATTTAACTTTTGGCAAGGTTTTTTAGGACTTACACTGTGCAAAGTTCGAATTCAAATAACGTGTTGTTGCAGGGACGAATCTAGGAATTTTTGGTGCTTGAGTTAAATAACATTCAAGTAAGTTCTAAACTCCAAACTTTTTTATGCTCATACTTATGTCATTTAAGAATGCTTTGCCAAAAATTGCGTTGATTAGAGCCTAGGAAAAAAAATACCCTAAATAGTAGGCATCACCCAAACAAAAGGGAGAATGATTTTTCGAAAATAAAAATTACTTACTTTAATAAAATTTAAATGTGTATCTGTATTTAAAGTTTGGTCAAAAAATCATCTAGCGTTCAAAAGTTATAACCATTTATAGTTTAGAGCCCCCTAAAAACGAGGGGGTTGTAAATTTAAACTGGGTATAATTTCTAAACAACATAATAATTTTCAAAAAAAATTTATAACAATAACGATATTACCATATAGTTTAGGATATTAGAATTTATATTTAGAAAAACCAATTTCCCCCACATTTGGGCGGTTGATGCCTACTTTTTAGGGGGTTTTTATTCCCAGACTATAATCAGCGCAATTTTTGGCAGATCATCCTTCAGTGACTAAAGTATGAAATTACAAAAATTTGGAGTTTAGAACTTACTGGAAGTGATATAATATAGTAATATACCATTAAATCCTGGATCCGCTCCTGCGTTGGTCATAAAAAAATATATCATGAAAAATTTTAAAATGAAAAACTTTTTTTAATTCTATTAAAATGCATTAAAATAAAACATTTATATATTAAAATGACGTTTAAAACGATATATATATATATATATATATATATATATATATATATATATATATATATATATATATATATATATATATATATATATATATATATATATATATATATATATTATATATATATATATATATATATATATATATATATATATATATATATATATATATATATATATATATATATATATATATATATATATATATGTATATGTATATATATATATATATATATATATATATATATATATATATATATATATATATATATATATATATATATATATATATATATAGTTAAAGTTTATTTCAATTACAGCTACAGTAACTACAATTGCTCCGGGAAGCCCCGTCATATGGCCAATACCAATCACTCTATGCGTTGTGATGCTTTTGTTTGTATCGTCACTATTTATTCGAAACTTTTGTCAAGAACGACTTGCCGCAAAAAAATTGATATCAGATTCTTTTCAAAGTTCTGGAACAAAAAAAGAAACATTATCATCAAACAAAAAACACGAAAAAAATATGTCAGTAGTTGCAGAAACTTCAAAAGACTTTATTGGGTGTTTTAACTTCTCGAGTTCTTTTTCGCCTAACGAAACAAGAGCTACAGACGATAGTTCATTAGAAAATGTTTCTAAACAAAAGTCGGCTGTGGTCACATTTTTCAAATCTACTGATGCATCTGTTATAAATGAAAACAACAATCCTATACAAACAACCTTGAACAATGAATCCCCCCACACCAATAATATTTTAACAACAGCATGTTAAAATGAGAAGAAACGATTCATATTAGTGCATGTTAGAAACGATTCGTATCAGTGCATATTAGAAACGATCCATATTAGCAATTGAAAATACAAATTTGTAGCAGTGATCGATTTTTTTTAAAAGCAACAAAAGATTGTTGTGTTTACTTAAAATATGAGGAATAATTTTGAGCGGACAATCGGATTTTTTAAATATTCATTTTGTAATACTAGTTATAAATGTAATATTATAAATTTTCTACTATTAATATTGCATTTAATGAGAGTTTTATTAAAGTTGTATTTGGCATAACTTTACGCATTGGTTCTTATACATTTAAGAAATATTAACTGTTACTTAATTATATATATATATATATATATATATATATATATATATATATATATATATATATATATATATATATATATATATATATATATATATATATATATATATATATATATATATATATATATATATATATATATATATATATATATATATATATATATATATATATATATATATATATATGTATATATATATGCCTTACGATAGGAAACAACCTTTGAAGAGAGATGTTCGGGGCCCATTTCAACTTGGTTTCAGCCCTAAATGGTTTCCTGATTTAATTCCTGAATAAAACCCTAGTTTTAATTAACAATTGACTGTTACTAACATGCAGAGATATAGTCAAGACAGTTATGGCCAAGATCAAGACATTTGGACTTAAGACCAAGACCAAGACTGAATGCTTTGAGACTAAGACCAAGAAATCAAAAATCAACCCAAAACCAAGATCAAGACTTTGAAAGTTTTTACAAGACTGGGATCAAGAATTAGGTTCTAAGAAGTCCAACACAATAAAACTCATGCTCACACATGTTTTTTTTTTTTTTTTTTTTTTTTTGTTTTTTGTTTTTTGTTTTTTTTTTGTTCTTTAATTTTACAACTTTGTGATTTAATAAATATTCGTTAACAATGTATATATATACATGATCGTTATTAAGAAATAAAAGAACGCGGGAACTCGTAGAAGACCGTAAGGTCTTGTCGTCGAGAACCGCTAAAAAATTTTCGTGTTAATATTTCGTATTAATAAAATATTCTCAAAATAAATAAACTTTCAATAGGAATATATACTTAACATACTTGAAGATAACAAATAATTAAGAATTAAGAATTAAAAACATAAACAAATTTAAAGAAAAAAAGAAAAAGAAAAACGGTTCCGTTATAAATACATAGATGCGTTATACAGTTTTAAGATATCTTGAGCACAATTGTTAAACTTTTTGTTAAAGGTTTTGTTATACAGTTTTAAGATACCTTTAAGAAAAGTGTTAAACAACTATTTACAAATTGTTAAATTATAAAATTTATTAATGCAGTGTTAAATATAAAGTTAAAAAAGAAACAAAAAATTAAAAGAATATAGATATATGATCTAATAAAAAAATAACTTTTTTAAGTTTTTGTTTGAAAGAGTGATAGCTAACTTCTTGAGAAAAGTCAAAATTCTTTAAAACTATTTTATTCCAAAGTAATGCTCCTCGAAATGAAATACAGTATTTTCCAGAATTAGTTTGATAAGCTGATTGACGAATATTATTATCATTTCGTAAAATGTAGGGTAAGGTGGGGCAAGAAGCCCACCATAAGCAATTTCGTCTTTTTTTTACTGACCCAATAAACGTATCTAGAAATTTATGTTACCATTATTTCAGATACATAATAAACTTAAGTATCTAAAGTTATTTTCTTAATGGCTACTCAAGTTTTAATGGAAATATGCTTTTTATAAACTGCTATAGAGTGGGCCTTTTGCCCCATTGCTGGGGCAAAACGCCCCTACCCTGGGCCTTTTACCCCAAACGTTAATAGCTTGAAATATTCCTTTTTTACAATAAAAATTTATTGCAACAATACACTTTTTACTAGTCACAATATATTTGTGTGTAAAAATGTCCAACAAAAGTTTTAGTAGAACACTTAGCACCACAATATTAGCAAGTAGCACCATATATGCTATCATATGACAATGGCAAACAGCACCGTAAAATTAATAGAGCTAAAAAGTACTAAAAATTTATAGACTAAAAAGATAGCTATAAAAACTAATTTATAGAGCTGAAAAACACAGCTAAAAGCGAATTCATAGAGCTTAAAAGTTGGTAAAAAAAACTAATTCATAGAGCTAAAAAGATATCTAAAAAAATAATTCATAACCCAAAAAGACAGCTAAAAAACTAATTCATACAGTTAAAAAGACAGCTAAAAAACTACAGTAAGACTAGTTGAATTGATTATGCCTATTAGCAGTGAAAGCAGACAGCAGTGTCATCAGAGCCACAGCCGTCGTGGTACCAGTTGAGGCATTCTGGGCATTGCTGCCAGTCATCAATGGGTGGTTCGTTAAATCTTTTACCACACATGCAACATGGCGTATCATCACTGTTAGTAACAGAACCTACACATCTTCGTTCTTTTGACCCTTTTCTTATCACGTTAGCATTCGATGCGTTACTTTTGATTGTCCTTTTTGATTTTGTTCTCGCATATTGCTTCCTTTTCCCGGTTTCTTTGTCATCTCCACTTTTCGTTCTCTTGGATTTGTCTGCGATTACATCGATTTCGTCTTCATCATTTTCCTCATTATTATTTTCAACTACTACTTGCTTGTTCTGTTTTGTCTTCTTTGCATTTGCTTCAATTAACATTGCTTTATAAGGACTAGAAGTTATTACAGTTGCTGCTTCGGTTTTTCGTTTGCGACTGCGTACATTCTTTATCCTTGGAATAGGGCTTAGTTCTGATATAATCTGCAATGCTTTGGATAAACCAGGATGATCAGCTGTTTTATCTAGTTGATTTTCATCGGACTCATTGCTATCTCCTGTTGCAATCCTATCAGTCCCCATCACATTAACCGATGCTTCATCATCCACCGCATTGCCGGCTTCTTCATTTGTATTCGTAGGTTCACTTGTTTCGTTTCTAGCTAATAATGCTCTTTCCATCATTTGGATGTGTTTAACAAGATCTTGTTCAATTTCATTAGAAAAAGTATTCACATGATTTCCTAATTTATTGCTCCCAACTTGTCTTACTTTGCCCAGCAAATGTCTTCTCAATGTCTTCCTTGAAACTCCAAAACTGTTTTCAGCTTTACGCAAAGACATACCATTTTTTACTGAATCTAAAGCCCGTTGTAAACCTTCTGCTCCATAACTTCCTTTTTTTGTCTTTTTTTTGTAATTTCTAACCATATCTATAAATAAAATAAAGTTAAAATTTGAACATTTTACTTAAATAATGCAAGGGGTAAAAAGCTCAGGATGGGCCTTTTGCCCCATTAACAAACTGGGCTTTTTGCCCCAAAATGGTCGGTGCAAAAATTGATAAAAACATATTATTCTATGGTACAATGAACGTTATGTAAATAATCAATACATAATTTGTACGCTTACAAATACATAAACTCATTTAAATAATCAACTAAGTTTAACAATAATCTACAAAAAATTTTTAAAATTACGCAAAAAATCAAAATGTCCTATTCTTATTACCTGTCAAGTCTTCAATATTCTGTTAAAAATTATATTTCTACTAAAAGTTCACCAAAATTCGTTCGCAACACTGTTACACATTTATCATTCATACTACAAAACAATAATTATAATATTTTACCTAGGTTCTTTATAACTGCAGGATGGGCCTTTTACCCCACCTGGGCCTCTTGCCCCACCCTACCCTACTTAGTTTTTTCTTTTTTGTTATACAAATTATGAAAAGGTACAGGAGAAATATTGTTTTTACATTTAAACATAAAACATATAACGTTAAAAATATTAAGCTCATATATATTTAAGACTTTCATTTCAATTAATAGAGGCTTGGCATGAGTAAATCGATCCTTAAAATTAATAAGGCGTGCAACATGTTTCTGTTGACGATAAAGAGGTTCCAGTTTACTTTTATTAGTACTACCCCACGCAATGTTCGCATAGTTAATGTGACAATGAATGAGCGAATAATATAGTTTAAGTAATGTATGTTTATTTAAAAAACACCTTGCTTTGTACAAAATTCCTATGCTTTTTGATATTTTACTACTCAAATTTTTTATGTGACTTTTCCATGACAAATTTTCATCAATATAAATACCAAGAAAGTTTGTAGCTGTTACTTTTTTTAGAAGTATATTATCAATAAAAAGCAGTGGCATTTCATTTGGTATAAGATTTTTTTTGTGATTTGGATGGAAAAAAATCCATTTCGTTTTATCAATATTAAGAGACAGTTTATTTGTCTTAAACCAATCAGAAACTCTTACTAGTTCATTATTGATATTCTGAAATAACAATGTAATATCATTATGAGATAAAAATAAGTTCGTGTCATCTGCAAACATAATCGTCATTAAATTTGAGGTTTTATGGAAATCGTTGATGTAAATAAGAAAAAGAAGAGGCCCTAATATTGATCCCTGAGGAACTCCACAGGTTATATCAAGCAAGTTTACTGGTGAAACTACATCAACGTATAAAAATTGCTTTCGATTATTTAAATAGCTTTTTAACCAATTTAAAACACTTCCGTTTATACCGTAAATCTTTAGTTTATTTAAAAGAATATTGTGGTCTATTGTATCGAAAGCTTTAGCTAAGTCAATAAAAACCCCAACTGTATATTGGGAGTTTTCAAAAGAGTTAGTAATACTTCTTGATGTTATGGATAAACAGGTTCTATCTGTTGACCAGCTTCGTTCTCCACCTTTATTTATTAGGCTGGCGTAAATGTATTTATAAAACATTGTTTCCAGTTAAGAATGTTGAATGCTGGATCTTCTTAACTCATTGCATGGGTTTTGATTGTGTCTTTGTTTTAATGACTAGACAACTCATTCTATTATCTCTTAATGAGGATACATGAGGATACTAGAACTCAGTTTTATGGTTCTGAGGCCGGTTGGTAATCAGGTTTCATTAACTCTGTTAAGGCTTTTAAAGAGACCAATTCTATACACAGCTGTAAAATATTAGAGTACAAACAGTGCCGTGTTGCGCATGGATAGTTTCCTTGTTTGTACTTTTGGTGTGTATTGTTGAAGCTACATTTGGAGCCTTCGTTACGGCTCAGGGTTTATTAATAGAAAAGAGGCAATTGCTTGGACTATTAGATAGTGTACTGAGTACTATCTGTGCTTTGAGTAAAGTTCTTTAGTCAATTTAAAAAATGACTAAAGTATCAAAAACT